TGGGGGCAATATGCTGACTCTGTAAACCGCTTAGAGAGGGCTGAAAGCCCTATGAAGCGGTATATAAGTCTACTGCTATTGCTATTGCTATTGCTTGTATTTACTGCTACCTTGGAAAACCTATCTTTGGTAATGTATATTATTATTATTTTGAATCATGCTGAATCAGTTACTGTGCTTTCTGAATGTGGTTGCTGCTGCAAACTCTACTACCCAGGTCAGCTTCAGCACTTATTGCAGCCTGATTCAGCACAGCTGATTGGCGGGTGGATCGGACTACTAGAATACTCCCAATCAGCTGTTCCAGGCTGCAGGGATTGCCACAAACCATCACTTCCTCCATGCCTTACATTTTTGGCCTCTGGTGGAGGTGATTGGGGCTACATTTGATGTATAAGACGCACCCAAATTTTCACTCTCTTTTTTGGAGGGAAAAGGTGCGTCTTATACTCTTAAAAATATAGTAATTGAGATTTTATTTTGTAGTTTTCAAGGTTCAGCTTGCTAAAATAGAAGTTTTTGAAACCACACACAGGTAATCCTCGACTTACGACTACAACTGAGCTCAAAATTTCTGATGCTAAGCAAGGCAGTTGTTAAGTGAGTTTTGCCCCATTTTACAACCTCTCTTGTCACAATTGTTAAGTGAAACACTGCAGTTAATTTAGCAGTATGGTTGTTAAGTGAATGGCTTCCCCATTGACTTCATTTGTCAGAAGGTCAAAAATGTCATCTCATGACTTGGGATACTGAAACTTATAAATTTGAACCAGATGCCAAGCATCTGAATTTTGTTCATGTGACCATAGAGATGCTGTAACGGTTGTCAGTCATAAGTTGCTTTTTTTTAATGCCATTGTAATTTTGAACGGTCACTAAACGAACTGTTGAAAGTCAAGAACTACCTGTCATTGCCTTCCTAATTATCCCTTCAATATAATCTTGCAGATTCTTTTTAGTATAGTAGCAATCAAATCATGTGCTAATCTTTTTCCTTTTATCAGTGATCTATATTTTGGTAGATATGCTGAAAGTTAATGAATACAGATTTGGACTCAGCAGGAAATGAAGCTCCTAAAATTATATTTGAAAAGGAAAAGATAGTATTTCCCCCTAGAATTTAAAAACAAACAGTAACTTAGTACAGGTAGTCCTCAACTTACAATGATTCATTTAGTGACTGTTCAAAGTTACAACAGAAAAGTGTAAAAGTGACTTAGGATTATTTTTCACACTTATGATCATTGTAGCATTCCCATGCTTATGTGATCAAAATTTAGACGCTTCGCAACTGACACATATTTATGACAGTTGCGGTGTCCTGGAGTCACATGATCATCTTTTGCCATCTTTTGGCCAGCAAAATCAATGGGAAAGCCAGGTTCACTTAATAGCTATGTTATTAACTTAAACAACTGCAATAATTCACTCAACACTAATGGTTAGAAAGGTCACCAAAAGTGGTCATAGGTTGAATACTACCTGTAGTTTCCAAGTAAAATAATATGCTTTAACTGCTGGTTTGCTATTTATTATTCCCCAGAAATAAAATGTCATGCAACAGGCACTGTTAAAAAGAAAAGGATTCTCAAATGTTCCATTGGAAGTATTGAGAAAGAAGATTTGATAAAGCCCTGTAGAAAAGAACAGGTCTGGGGTTTTTTTCTTGTATTAGTACAATACTATTCTAAGATCATTTGCTCCCTTTTTCACTAGGAAAGTAGCCAAGAGCACCAAGTAAATATGCTCTTCTTGAAACATTTTGAGCAGACTGTATAGTTCAGTACAAGACCAGAAAGGGTTTGAGAATTGCCTAGTCTATAGGTAAATTCATCTTAAAGTAGGTATGGCCTACTTCGGTAAATGCCCAGTTGTACACTAATTCATTACTTTTTTCAAAGCTAAAGTTCATATTTGGAAGCTTTTACACATGTTTGATTTATAAGTTATAGACTTTGACAAACTTTTTTTGTTTAAGAACATAAAAGCTGTACTGAGTCACCCTAAGATAACTTTCTTCCAACCCAATACTTTCCCAAGATAACGTTCTCAAGGTATGTGGGGACTGTATCGCTAGAATTCTGATATATTAAATATGAATACAAAGTTCTTCATAAGGATCTCAACAACTGGCACTTGTCAAGTAGGACCACAAGGTGCTCTGCTCCTTATCTCAGTTTCTTTCTCACCTTTAAACATGATACACTTTGGTATATCATATTTAAAGAGAAGAGTTCCTGATACCTTTGGCAGCAATTTTAGTTTTCCATTAACTCAGGCTGTAGTTCTATACATATTTTCCTATCAGTAATCTCTGTTAAACGTTATCAGATATGTTTTAAAATAAACTTATATAAACTTACATTGCTAGCTATACTTGTAATGGTAGGCGCGGGAATTAGTAAGAACATTTTTCAGGTATTCTGACTTTAAAAGTTTCTCCTTGAATTTGAGGTAGTGACATTTGGGTTCTAACATAATATTGTATCTTGGCCATTTGTTCTTGGAATACTGTACTTATGCATGTTACTTGGTCCAGAATTTTTCTTTTAAAAAGTCCTGCAGATGACTTGGTAACCCAGAATCCTGGAATAATAGGTCTATAAGCAGATGGTTGTTCTCACTGCCCCACTTTCCTTTTTACTTTGGGGGAAATCTGCAAATAAGCATTGGAGGAAGTCTCCGTATATAAATGACATATCATGGGGTCCTATACCATGATATCTGAAAATTAGGAGATACATTCACTTTTTAGCAGTAACAGATGCTGTGTTGTCCTTTTTCCAACAGGTTTTGAAAAAATATCCACATTTATGGTGCATGAGTAAACCACCCAGACACCGCCCTAAACTCTATATTGTAAATCTCCAGGTGAGTATATATTGGAACAGAGCATAATGTACAGATGCATGTGCTTACATCGTTTGCTTTTATATACTTTTGATAAGGAATAATGTATGCAGAAAGTTATAGACTGTTCCTACTACTGTATACCAAGAATAAATAAATTGTTCTTGAGCAGAAGGCATGTGTGAGCCTTTGGAGGTTTGTCAATTAAGTAGATGGTAGCACTATGTGGAACAATTGTTTGCTTAGTTTTATGTTTCCTTAGGTTAAGATTTCCATGATAATGACTCTTGACATAGTGTGAATAGAATCTGGATGGTATTCAGCTATACTCAGAAATATGTGTCCTAGCTTGATAACCTTCAGACACCTGTTTCCTCTTAAATGTTGGGTTAGCTTCTCTATTTCTATCCAATGATAATGCAGTGATAGTTGGAATGTGAGCTAATTATGTCTCTTTCTCAGTATTCCAAAAGCTTCCCATTGTATTCTGATTTACACTTTGAAAAATAATTTTATTAGATGCCATATATTCAAACTAAAGAGAAAGTATTCTTTCCTAACTAACTATTGGAATGTCATTTTTTAAATAAGGACTAAATATGTTTTACCAGACCTGCCATAAAAAAATAAAACTTATGTCTGTCTGAATCTGATGAGTAGCATTGTTATATCATTCACAGACTGTCTTTGAAGAAACTAATCCAATCTTAATCTATTGTATTTGCAGTGGACACCAAAGGATGATCTCGCAGTCCTAAAACTTCACGGAAGATGTGATGATGTGATGAAGTTATTGATGGATGAGTTGGGACTTCCCATTCCTTCCTATGATAGGTCAGTGACAACCAAATGTGTTCAGTGTCACTTTTGTTCAGTGTCAAGTTTGGTTAGTGTCATGATGCCCTTGATAATATAATTTATTTTGATTTATTTGGAGGCAGAGTTTGTCATCCAAAGTTGTAAGGAAGATGGTGTGGTCCAAATCATGCTATGGTTGAATATACTGTATTTTCCAGAGTATAAGACACACTTTTCCCCCCTAAAAGAAGGTGAAACTTTGGGTGCGTCTTATACACCGAATGTAGCCAAAAACGCAAAGCACGGAGGAGGCGATGGTTTGTGGCAATCCCTGCAGCCTGGAACAGCTGATTGGGGTATTCTGAGAGGCCAATTCCCCCGCCAATCAGCTGTTTGTGCTGAATCAGGCTGCAATAATGTGTTGAAACTGACCTGGCTGTTCATTTGCTGCAAGGACGTGTCAGAGTTTGCAGCAGCAATCACATCTAGAAAGCACGCACAAGTAACTGATTCAGCAGGATTCAATAACTTCTCTTTATATATAACACATGAAGTAAAAATATACAATACCAAAAGCAGGTTTTCAAACATGGTGGTTCCAACATGGTAAATACAAGCAAAACACAAACACAGGAGTTTCAGTTTCAGAGATCAGCACAGCATGCAGCTTTAGTACAGAACAAACCAGGCCCAGGCACCTTGCTATCTCCTTCCTTATTGCTCACACAGAAAATACTGTTTCAGTTTCCAAACAGCCCCCGACTCTCTCACACATTGATAGGATTGCAGCCAGATAAATACTATGGATGCTGGTAGGCAGAGGCAATTTTTTTTCTTATTTTCCTCCCCAAAAACTAAGGTGCGTCTTATACTCTGAAAAATACGGTATTTGCATAATAGTTCAAAATGTAAGCTGCTACTTTGGTTCAAGACACTTATTCATAGGTAGCTGTGTAAATTAACATTACATATTATCATGTTTGTCTGTAGAATGAAAGACCCCATTTTTTCTCTGGCTGTTCCTTTGCAACCTGCAGAAGAAAGCAGTCATAGCCGAAAACTCGTGGCTCCACCAGCAAGTCTTCATGAAGTACAACTGGGAGAGGAACAACACATGCATCCAGATCCACCCTCTGGTGGCTGGTTTGGCAGAGGCTGTGCAAAAGGCACAAAGAAGAAAAAGAACTCTTGATAACAGATTAAAAAAAAGATTTTGAGGACCAACTATAGTTGCTAAAATCAGGGCAAGAAATGACATCTGCACTAGACTTCATCAGGATTGCTGGGCTAACTGGAAAAAAACACAGCTGCTATTTTCATAGAGATTTTTTATAATTAGCTGACAAGGACCAAAGCTTAGCTTGGGTTTCTGCCATCTAAGGGGAGGTTGGCTTTTAATACTCAGGGCTGCCAATTAACAATTATTAATAAAATTATTATAAATGGCTGCTGGCTGAGTATGGCTCTTTTGGTTTTGATGTAATTATGAGCATCAAACTTGATCACATCACGGGCTGGATCATGACATATTGCGACGGTTTTTGCCTTTGCTGAGCTGGGGTGGGCGTGGCCTGCACATGACATACTTGGCCCACAGGCTGCCAGCTTGTGGCTATGTAGTTGCTGGTGTAGATACTGTACATGTAGCCCTTGAGTTATGACCACAATTGTGCCAAAATTTATGTTGCTAAGNCCAGAATTGTGTTGGCTTTTTTGGCTTTTTTGACAGCTGCTGCACACTGCTGGCTCATATTTAAATGATTGTCCAGTAGGATTCCCAAGATCCCTCTCACAGTTACTACTATTGAGCAAGGTACCACCTATACTGTACCTGTGCATTTCATTTTTCTTGTCTAAATGTAGAACTTTACTCTTTTCACCATTGAATTTCATTTTATTAGATAGCAGCCAACATTCAAGTCCATCAAGATCCTTCTGTATGTTAAGCGGATCTTCTGGAGTGTTGACACTTCCTGTTAGCTTGGTGTCAGCTACAAATTTGATGAGTTCCCCATCTATGTCCTCATCCAAATCATTGATGAAGAAGTTGAAGAGTACTGGGCCTAAAAGAGAGCCTTAGGGTACCCCACTGCATACTTCTCTCCATGTAGATGCAGTTCCATTAAGGACTACACATCGAGTGCATGCAGTGGGTCAGCCAGTTACAAATCCATCTGGTGGTGATGCTGTCTAAACCACATTTTTCAATTTGTGAAGTAGTAGGTTATGGTCCACTTTATCAAATGCCTTACTGAAGTCCAAGCTGGTCCACTAATTTTGTCACTTTGTCAAAGAAAGCAATAAGATTAGTCTGGCATGATCTGTTTTTGAATAACCCATGTTGGTTTTTGGTTATTACATTGTTTGCTTCTAGGTGTTTGCTGATTCATTGCTTGATTATCTTTTCCAGAATCTTCCCAGGTATTGAAGTCAGGTTGATAAGTCTGTACAGTGGTGTATTAACCATTAAGCAGACTAAGCACATGTTTAGGGAACCAGGCCCAAAGGGGGCACCACAAAGTTCAGAAAGAAAAAAAAACAATGAAGATTTGTACACTATGTACAAAGGAGGGGAGATAAGATTTGTCAGTGCTTAGGGCACTAGTGAGCCTTAATCCACCACTGGATTTGTAATTTCCTGGATTTATTTCCCCCCCCCCTTTTTTTTGAAGATGGGAACCACATCAGCTCTTTTCCAGTCTTCTGGCAGTTCCCCGGTGCTCCTGGATCTTTGAAAGATATAATTCAGTGTTTTTGAGCTCTTGCCACTTTCTCCCAGCTATGGACCAATTGTTTCCTTGACTTTTTTCTTGTTTTTCGCATGTTGGAAGAAGCTTTTTCTGTTTTTGTTTTGTTGCAAGCCTTTGTTCGTTGTGAGCCTTAGTTTTCCTCACTTCATCTTTGCAGACTCAGGCTATTTGCTGATATTCTGCCTTAGTTATGTGCCCCTCTTTCCACTTTTTATACTTGTCCTTTTTATCTTTCAATTTGTCAGAGAGTTCTTTATGCAGCGACGCTGTTTTCTTTTGAGAGCTGTTATTTTTCTTCTACATTGGTATTGTGATGGACTGGTTTTTTATAAACTCACTTTTGAAAATTTCCCAAGCTTCCTGAGTTGTTTTCCCCTTGAGGATTCTCATCCATGGAATCCTTCCCTCTCTAAGCTCTCTTTAAGTTTATTGAAATTAAATTCCAAGACTCTAGTTTGACTTCGTTTTATTGCTTGTAGTTGCATAATGTTGAATTCCAATATTGAATTATCACTCCACCCCCACCCCCGCATGTTCCTGTAGTTTCAACACCTTCTATCATTTCATCTCTTTTGGTGAGAAAAATATGGCTGATCCTCTTGTTCTCTTCTCTACTTTTTGGGAAACAAAGTTGTCTGCTAAGTTTGTTAGGAACATGTTGGATCTTCCACTTGGTGAAGAGTTTGTCTCCCAATTGATGTCAGGGTAGTTAAAATCCCCCACTGCTATTGTGGTATGCTTCCTATACACCTTAGTTAGCTGACTAGCAAAAAGTTCATCTTCCTCTGTTTGGTTAGTTGGCCTATAGTATACTATAGACCTATGGCAATGACATTTTCCCCCTTTAATATTGACCCAAATGCATTCAAGCTAATTTTCATCATTATTGTGCTCTATTTCTGTAGAAATGTAGTTGTTTCTTATATATAGTGCAACTCCACCTTCTCTTTTATTTGGTCTATTTCTTTTAAATAATTTAAATTCCTTTAGCTGTATGTTCCATTTGTGGGTTTCATCCCACCAAGTTTCCATAATAACAACAATATCATATCTGATATTGAGAAATTATAAATGAGAAATGTAATTGTGGAAACTTAGATTTTATTTGAGCTGAATTTTAAGCTAACCAAAAAAAGTGTGCAAACCATCTAGTTTATTTCATTAGGGAAATTTTAAAAACAGCAGAAAAAAAAGAAAGGAGTTATAAATGTGACAGGATTCAAGATGCATTTTTACCAGTGAAGCTTAAATGGAATTTGGGATAGACTATGGATATGTACATTGGATTCTATCTGAACCAACTCCTTTTTAAGTTATGCTAGCAATTCCCCCAAAATTCATTTTTTTTCTTAATTTTGAAAATACCCAGCCAAGTTTTCATCGTTAGCTAAGACACTCACATCCGTTGGCAGGTGGAAAACAGAAGCAAGGCTAAAATTGGGCAATGTTTATATTTAAAAAGCTTATTAAAAGGCAATAGCCAAATGAAGGTAGAATTGCCAGTATGTTATGAACATACCATTACAAGGAATGAGTCCAATGTGTACTGAGTTTAAAAAGTTCTTAAATACATTTAAAATATTAAGTATTTTGTGAACACCTTAGAACAAGGATGTCAAACTCGCATTGTCATGAAATGATGTATCGTGACTTTTTCTCTCTTGTCTAAACTGGACCTGGGTGTGGCCAGCACATAACGCATCCGGTCTGTAGGCCGCGAGTTTGACAGCTCTGCCTTAAAAGAAGGTTTTTTTCTTCATTTTCTTTTCTCAGAATTTCTGATATCTGAGAAATTGATTGGATTTAATTTTTTTTTCCAGTGAGGGCTGTTTCCCATTCAGGTCAGAAAACTATTTTCAAATTCTAAGCATATTTGGACTTTTTACCTATGGCTCTTTGGAAATACTGTAAAAGTATATCTAAATGTATTGATTATACACATACTTTCCATTTATTAGAAAATTTGAGGTGCCGAGGAATAAAAAAAATACCAGAAAAAACAGTAATAATGGATAAATTTCCAGTAACATAATTGAAAATAAATTTACAATTTGCTGCTTGTGAGTAGTCATGTGAAGTAAGGGGAGCAAAGGGAAGGAATGATGAAAGAGCTTCATAATTGCAATGCAAGCTCCACCCTTTTTGTATGTGCTTCTTGACACTGTACAAAAGGGGCAGATGCTGAAAGCTTCCAATTCTGTAGACACCACTAAAAAGCACTGTTGATGGTACAGTGAAGAAATTCTTTGTTTTTGAGGACTGTTATGTTCTGTGCATGCTAATAGTGGAATATTGTGAAAACAAGCATTGACATGCCTTTACAGAAGTTCCTTTGTTACTTTTGGTTTTGTTTGTTTCTTTGTAGCTATGATATGGTACACTATGGACATTCCAATCAATTGCGACAAGCTCGTGCAATGGGAGATTATCTGATTGTGGGTGTCCACACAGATGGTAAGGAAACTGCATTACTATTTTTCTTTTTAGAAGTCTGATGCCTTTGAATACTTTCTGAAATTGTGATTTGCTTGTTTGTTTATCCCACATTTATTATTTTTATAAATAACTCAAGGCGGTGGACACACACTATACTCCTTCCTCCTCCTATTTCCCCCACAATAACAACCTTTTGGTGTGATTTGGGCTGAGAGAGGACCTGGCCCAAACTCATCCAGGCAGTTTTCATGACTAAGGTGGGACTAGATCTCACAGTCTCCTGCCATCTAGCCAGGTGCTCTACCCTTTAGGCCTAATTGGCTCTTATATTCACTTCAGGCAGTTTTGTCTAGTGGTTAAGGCATAGCAACCAGGTGGGTGACTTTGAGTCAGTCACCCTCTTTTATCCCAAGATAAGCTTAGGCAACAAGCTGGTTGGTCGTATTTAATTAATATCGCAATTAATGGATCAACATTCAGTTCATCAAAAGAAAAGAAAAAACCAGACAATGCACTTGTGGGAAAATCTAGGAAGAGAAAAAAATCCTTTCAACCAACATACATATTAATCTAATCTGATATTGTCATCTGTGATCTACAAGACTCCCATCAGTTCTGCGGCTTCATTTAGATCTTGGCCTATCTTCAATTAAGAATTCAATTGACATGATCAAACTTCAATTGGAGGTAGGTTGATGGTATAAAACCTGCAATCTCCGCAAAATCTTGGCTATTCTCCATAGTGAGGGGGGAGGAGTATCCAGAATGGGGGTTGACTTCGTCCTCTCATGATTGGATGAGTCAGATAAGCTCTTTGGGTAACGCCCCCTGGCCAGCAGGACTACCCATTCTTCTGACTCATCTCCTCAAGGAAAAGTTGCACTACTCAGTAACTCCAGTAATTTNTCCTTATTGCTCACACAGAAAATACTGTTTCAGTTTCCAAACAGCCCCCGACTCTCTCACACATTGATAGGATTGCAGCCAGATAAATACTATGGATGCTGGTAGGCAGAGGCAAATTTTTTTCTTATTTTCCTCCCCAAAAACTAAGGTGCGTCTTATACTCTGAAAAATACGGTATTTGCATAATAGTTCAAAATGTAAGCTGCTACTTTGGTTCAAGACACTTATTCATAGGTAGCTGTGTAAATTAACATTACATATTATCATGTTTGTCTGTAGAATGAAAGACCCCATTTTTTCTCTGGCTGTTCCTTTGCAACCTGCAGAAGAAAGCAGTCATAGCCGAAAACTCGTGGCTCCACCAGCAAGTCTTCATGAAGTACAACTGGGAGAGGAACAACACATGCATCCAGATCCACCCTCTGGTGGCTGGTTTGGCAGAGGCTGTGCAAAAGGCACAAAGAAGAAAAAGAACTCTTGATAACAGATTAAAAAAAAGATTTTGAGGACCAACTATAGTTGCTAAAATCAGGGCAAGAAATGACATCTGCACTAGACTTCATCAGGATTGCTGGGCTAACTGGAAAAAAACACAGCTGCTATTTTCATAGAGATTTTTTATAATTAGCTGACAAGGACCAAAGCTTAGCTTGGGTTTCTGCCATCTAAGGGGAGGTTGGCTTTTAATACTCAGGGCTGCCAATTAACAATTATTAATAAAATTATTATAAATGGCTGCTGGCAGTTGTTTGAGTATGGCTCTTTTGGTTTTGATGTAATTATGAGCATCAAACTTGATCACATCACGGGCTGGATCATGACATATTGCGACGGTTTTTGCCTTTGCTGAGCTGGGGTGGGCGTGGCCTGCACATGACATACTTGGCCCACAGGCTGCCAGCTTGTGGCTATGTAGTTGCTGGTGTAGATACTGTACATGTAGCCCTTGAGTTATGACCACAATTGTGCCAAAATTTATGTTGCTAAGTGAAACATTTGTTAAGTGAGTTTTGCCCCACTTTACGAATTTTCTTGCCAGTTGTTAAACGAATCATCTCATTTGTTAAGTTAGTGACATGGTGATTAAATGAATCTGGACTCCCTATTGACGTGGCTTGTCAGGTCGCAAAAGCTAATCACATGATCCCAGAACACTGCAACTGTCTTACATAGGAACCAGTTGCCAAGCATCTGAATTTTGATTGTGTGACCATGGGAATGCTGCAAGGGCCATAAGTGTGAAAAATGGTCATCAGTCACTCTTTTGAGTGTTGTCATAACTTTGAACGGTCACTAAATGAACTGTATGAGGACTATCTGTATTCCACCACTCATTTAGGTCAGCGATTTCTATATTAAATTCTGCCTGTGAGCAGAGCTCTGTTCCTAGAATAGAAACAGAAATAGCATATTGGAAATCTGCCTTTGTAGATCTGCATCTCTGCTGGCTTTTTCACATTTTAGAATGGATGCATCTTCAAAAAGCCACATGCAGTAAGTAAGAGTGAAATGGCGTTAAGGGAAATTCCCTGTTCTCCAATAATTTGTGGCCTGGCTGGACAGCAGAAAAACGCGAGTATCTCCCTCCTAACACACGCCAGCCGGCCGACCAGTTTAGTGCCTCCTGACTGCCCCCCTCCAGCGCTTTCCTTTCAATCCAAGCGGCTTTTCGGAGGGGGCGGGGCCTCCGGGGACGTAGCCAGGGGGGCGGCGCTTTCGGCAGCTCCGGCTCCTCCCTGGTCACGTGGCAGGGGGGAATGTCCCGGCCTAAGTGACAGCGACGGTGTCAGGACGGCGGCCGTCTGTTCGGCACACTCCTGCTCGAGATGCTGCGGAACGGAGCTGCCGGAGGCGCCTCCTCTTTCAGCGCCGCCGCTCGGCCTGTGCGTGTCTGGTGCGACGGATGGTGAGTGTCCCTTCCAGCGTACAGATGGGCCTTGTAGTTGGGATATGCTGCTAGCCTCCGCATTTCTATGGCAACCGTCTCTCCTCCACGGCGTCGAGGAGCTGCCGCGCCGAAACGGGTCCCCATGGCAACGCCCCTCACGCTTCCGCTTCGTTTGAACGGCTCCTCTTGGAGGTTTCTCAGCGGCCCCGTCCGTGCCCGGCTCCTGTGCTGCTCCCGCCCAGGCTCGTTCGCCGGCAACATTTCTTTCCCGCTTAAGGGCTCGTTTATGTACACTGGGGGTGGGGTGTGTTTTTGCTGCCAGGGTTCACCTGGGGCTACGGTCATAGTTAGTGCGCCTAGATCTGGAGACTCCACCAGAGCTAAATTTACGTCAAAGCTATGATTGACGGGGGGGGGAGGGAGGCCTGTGTGGTATATGGTTGAATCGCGGAAGTGTTTTGCTGCAGCTCATCTTTTGGCAAACGCCACTTGATCTCTTCAGCATTTTTGGTGGAGTCTTTTGGCATCGTTTGGCGGGGGGGGGAGGGGGAAATGCTTGAAGTTTCTGTCTGCCAGATGTGCTCATTAAGGACAGAATCTGTGATGTGTCCGAACATCTGTGTGCAAGCAGTAGACATTCATAAGCAGGCCATTTGCATCCATTGAGCTGTTCAAAATGAGCTGACTTCAAAGCTGCCAATCCCGCAGCCAGCAAAGTTCCAGTAGTAGTTGGTAGCTGTGGTTAATATGTTCTTCTGGGATTCCTCTTTATCTCCTGACTCACTTGTTTATGAAACAGCTTTTTAATATTAACCCCTGTCAAAGGACTGGGTGTACTCTTCCTCATACTATGTCAAAAGGACTTTGGAGTTTAGATAGGCTTATAAACACGAGTTGCCCACAAAGACATACTTTGAGATTACCAAACATTCTGGGAACCTACCGTGTTTAGCCATGAAAAACAATTTGCTTTTATCTACTCATGATTTTTATCACCGGCCTAAATTAATTTATATTGCCACAGGTCAAATTGGTACAATAGTGGTAAACCATTGGAAGAAGTAATAGCCTGCATTTCCTGTTCTTTTCTGTCAACATATATAAAGTCAATTGTTGGAATTCAACAGTTTTATAGAATTGCAGTTTCTATGACTATCTTTCTAACATGAAGACTGCAGCGAAAAATTATTGAATTAAATGAATGTCTAAGAAATGAATTTCTTACCTTTTAGTTTTGGTAAAATAAGTTAGAAAGGAAACAAACTAGTTGGGAGAATGCCACGCAACAATAGGAAGTAATCAATAGCTTCATGATATCAGGAAGATGAAGTAAAATATTATATTTGGCAATGAGATCATTATAGAAAATGTATTTATTTATTATAAATATATGCAAGTGAATCAAACATCCTGTAATACTTGTCTGGGAGGATTTTTAAATTGCAAATGCTGCTAATATCAGCCATATCCTAGTTGAGTTACAGAGGAAGGGGACAAATGGATCTGGAACTGTTCCAGAAGTTGTCATGGAAACTGGATTTAGAGTCATATGAGTCTTGGAACATAACTCCCGGGAACGCAAGCACTAAGGCTCTTCTGCATTGCCATATGATAGGTGTGGGCCCCATTAGAAACTGCTTGTCATTTGCTAACATCTGGGATACAGCCAAATTAAACCTGAAGGTTTGAAATTCTCCTGGAACTGTATTTTTATTTTATTAATATGTATTGTAATCCATCTTTCCACTTATACACTTTTCTTTTTAGCTTGGAAAAAGTAATTTGTTTATCTTAGCAAAATAAAATATCCTGTATTAATTTATTTAGGCACAATTATTTGTAGAATGCTTTCATTGTTTACTCTTTCTAGCCATCAATATGCGGACGATACTCAGTTGTATCTGTCCACCCCGTGCCAACTCAGTGANTTCTCCAGTGAGTCCTTCCTTCTCATTAGGTGGCCAAAGCATTTGAGTTTCATCTTCAGGATCTGGCCTTCTAAAGAGCAGTCAAGGTTGATCTCTTCTAGGACTGACCAGTTTGATTGCCTTGAAGTCCAAGGGACTCGCAAGAGTCTTCTCCAGGGCCATAGTTCAAAGGCCTCAATTCTTTGGCCCTCAGCCTTTCTTATGATCTAACTTTTGTAGAGCTCTGCATGTCTGTTTGCAAATGTTGGGTTGGTGGGTATTGGAATCAGAAAGCAGCTTACTTTATTCTTTAATAA